AGAAACGCTGGCAGCGAAGGCCGTTATCGATCAGGAAACGGCTGGCAGTGAATGAGTTAAGGGCTGTCCCTTTGAAGCTGTGGCTACTGTAAACCGCTTCTAAAAGTGCCCTCATTCAGAGCATCACTGTCAGCCGTAACACATCCATGTATCAATCTTCATATGCTTCATCTGGAGCGTGGCCTTGGACAAATCTATACTGTATTTTTTATTGACAGGCAAAACAGTGTGTGCTCCAAAGCAGGGTCAGACAAAGATAAATGCTTCAGTGGGGGATAGGCAGGAGGAGAGACAAGGGGGAGACGAGAAGAAGGGAGGGAGCAAATAAAAGGACTGCATGGTGAAGTGAAACAGAGTCAAGCGGGGTGAAAACAACTATGCAAGGAAGTTATTTTTACCCAGGAGCTCCCAGAACAGTAGCTGAGTGACATTCTGTAGGTTGAGCGAGGACAAGCAGCACACATCTAATCCGTCTAACTCAGCTGACTTGCAAGCAAAGGTAGAGAAGAGGTCATCCTGAACAACAATCAAAAGAGAAAACACCACTTCTTAAACATTTTGCCCAACACACACACACACACACACTGCCTCCTGACATTTGTCCAGAACAGCTCCTTATGGGGTTATGGAACTGAGTCAATCTAACTTGGCTTAGTCAAACGCCCTACGGGATGTGTCTGTTTGTCAGCGCTGACGTTTCCGTGGAAGCACCTGACAGACAGGTCGGACATGCTCACTGGACTGTGCAACGCCGCCAGTCATTCTGAACCAACGCTGCGTTGGCCTCAGGTTTGAGTTTAAGAGGCTGTTTGTTCAAAGTAGAAAGAGAAGGAAGTTGGGGAGTCAGTTGTTTTGTTATGTGTGTGTGGAGGGGTATTCTCCCTTGGATCAGCAGAAAAGGGGTTTTTGTAGTTGAGATAAATCATCCTTAACCTTCAAAAGACGTTGGCATTTTTAGGTTATCTACCCAACCTATGACAAGCAGTCCCAAATCCTCCTTTAGTTTTGTGGTTCATCATCCATCTATCATTCATATGTATTCATGTAGAACATCCCATATCAAGAATAAATCATGTTTGACAGATGCTTCAGGTGTTTCCTAAATCAAGCAAATTTAATTTGTCATTGCGTCTTGAAACTAGTTATATTTTGATGAATCTCTGTTGAGAGACCTATTGTATGTTATTTTATGATTAGTTCTTTTCATTTCTAGGATTTATTTACTATTGTAGACAAAATTGTAGGATTTTCCTTAATTTAAGATTACTATCTAAAATCAAGTATTAAAAACTAGTAAATTATTTTTAAAACAAGCCAACTTACCCGGCACGTCTAAAAATAAGATTTTAAATATTGGCAAGAGCCAGATAATTTGCAGTGTACAAGCTTTGAGTGAGAGCTGCTTAAACACACATATAGACTCCCGAACCGGCACAGACGAGTGCACGTAGCTGTCCAGCCATTTGACTAGCTGTCACCACGTTTAAAGTAGCCAATGAAGCGAGCAAGCAATACCTGTCATATCCTGCATGGTGTCAGCATAAGCGCCTGAGAGCTATGGTGACTGACATCTTGAGCAGGAAATGAAGTGTACATGTAGGCCAACGCTTACAGGGCCGCTGTCTGCTGGAGAGCGGGGACACATGTTTGCCATTATGAATATGCAAACACACACCGAGACAAAGCATGTCAAGAACACACACACAGCTGGATCCATTAGCCTTTCAAACACAATCTGGAAACTTATCCTTTTTAGGCAAATTAAAACAGTTTTGCACAACATTTCCTCTATAAACAATCTATTCAGGTATTTTTTACACAAAAATGGAAAGTGACATGTCACAAGTGACATGGTTGTTAAACGGGAGCTTGTAACCGGTGGACTTCTGGTTCAAACCACCGCTCTGACGTGGGACTGCATTGTCGGAGAGGGAAGAGAGGGCAGCAGAGGGCGACACTGTCCTCTGCTGCCCGCGGATAAACAGAGAAGGAAGTGACGCCACCATCAGCGTCAGCCTGAGGAAGTTTGCAGCCGCAAACGAAACATAGCGGGAAAACGGGTAACAAAACTGTTCTGTGTTTTTAAAAAAGAACTACAGCATGGCACTGCTCTGACAGTCTGAGTTTTTGTCCTTTGCTGATACACTTCACCCAACTCCGGTGATTGTCAGTGGGCTGGGTGGCATTGATTAAATGGTAACCTCTCTCTTGGGCAGCTGTAGTTATAATATAGCTTACCACGGCTGTGTCCATCCTCCCAAACCACGATAGTTTTTCATTATTTACGGAGGACAGAACAGTTGAGTGATGGTGAATCATCCAGGTTTTAATATGTCTTTTTCATGTTTTGTATCGTCTCTTTTAACTAAACTCACTCACAGCACGTTTGTTCTGTAAACCTTGCCAGAACCAGGTCAGACCCACTTCTGTCTTCAAGACTGCCTCAAGCGCCTCGCAAGTTTTATCTTGAGAAGCGCTATATAAAATATCTTTTCTTCTCCTTAATCATTTATGGAATAGATTCAACAAGATGCTGGCAGCATTCTTCTGAGACTCGGGTCCATATGGACACAAGAGCACCATGCAGTTCCTGCAGGTTTATCAGCCACACATCCATAATGGGAAGTTCTTGATCCACCATCCTCCAAACATTTGGGACTGCATTGAGATGTGATGACTGTAGAGGCTGTTGGAGTCCAGTGACATGTTAACATTATGTTCAAGAAATAAGTAAAGATGACTGAGCTTGATCTTGTGTTTATTGTGGCTTCAGTTTCCTGTTCTTAGCTGACAGGAGCCACTCCTGTGGTGGTTTTCTGCTGCTGGAGTCCATCTGCTTCAAGATTCAACATGTTGTGTTCAAGAGATACTATTAAACAGACCTTAGTTATAATGAATGCATAATTGAGCTGCTGTTGCCCATGCTCCAATTTTCCTTGGGTGGCCATGGCCACCTCTGGCAACCCCTTGGGGGTGTCACTGCCTCTCATGCCAACCTAACAGTTTTGTTCGCCCAACTACAGCCTGCTGGATTTTGACACATCTACATAAACCCTGTCCCAATAGAACAGCTGTTTCTGAAATATTAGCTATATCAAAGCTATCAACATATTAAAAAAGAAAAAGCAATTATTCTAGTGTAACCAGTTAGCGTTTATGTATTTGGACGTGTTTGACTGACAAGACATTAGAAAAGTTAGTCTGCTGATATCGCAACACTTCTCAATGACACTCAAAGATGAGCTGTGTGTGTGTGTGTGTGTGTGTGTGTGTGTGTGTGTGTGTGTGTGTGTGTGTGTGTGTGTGTGTCTGTATTTACAACTGAGGCCTATCAAATAGCTACTTAAGACAGCCGAGAGACCACTTTGTTTTTGGGTTCAGGTTAAAAAATGTTCACGACAAGTGGAGGCTTCGATAAGTGGGTGTGAATGAATGAATGAATGAATGAATGAATGAATGAATGAATGATTGGGCGGCATCTCAACCAACACAAGCTGTAGCTCCCATCTGCTGCCATCATCACCATTAAGAGTCTCTAATTTAAACTAATTGCTGCTGATGAGTGAGTAAACAAAGACATACAGTTTGTAGAGTTTGTGAAGATTAAGAAGGTAGGAGAGAAGAAGCATTTTCTGAATGAATGCTAGCTTGTTTTCTTCTACTGAAGTGCTAGCAGTGTGGCTGGTGTGAACACAGATGTGAGTAAAAGCATGGGGGCAGCTGGGAATGGTGCATGAAGGAGAGCCATAAGTAACAGCAACAGGGAGCTTTATTCAGCTGTATTCTGTCTTTCACTTGGACTCTGATAAACACAAAAAGAATAAATTAATCTATTTCAGGATTTAGAATTCAAACAATCTATTGTGGATTTTACTGGTTACTGACACAGCCATGCAGTAAATCACAAACACTGAAATCTGCTCCAAAAATAATAAAAGCTTTAATAGAAAAAAATTGGTATTAGTCTAATTACTTTTATTAATTATTTAAAAAAATGCTAACATGCATTACTTTGTTACCAGCTGAATTAAAGTATCTTTCCGGAGTTTTCCCCTTTCAGAAATTATGTATGGTTTGCCAGAAATCCGTAAAAGTGATTATCTCATCATGCACTGTGATATAATGTAAGCAATACGTCTTTGTTCTCTGTTTTTTTGCAACGCACGCCCCCTGCCTCGCAGAGCTCCGTGCAATAGGAAACTGAGCGCTGATCAGAACTAACCAATAGCATTAGATTACCGCTTACTTGCTTCAAATTTAAGGAATACCTCGGCTGATGCAGAGTTGATGAACCTTTCATGAACAAGCAAGTCTCTAAAACATAAATATATGACAACACAACATGACATGAGAATAATACTCGTAAAACAACGTGTTTTAGCTGTTTGTCAGCTACAGAAGCACATTTATGAACAGAAACGTGAAGTCGCCATCTTAAAAAAATGGAAGGAGTGTGATATGCTTGTCAGCCACTAGATGGTGCCATCGGATAAGAAATAATGCGGAAAGAAGCTTTAACTCTGATTCACAGGTAGATGAAATGTTAGTTCTTATATTTTATTGTAGCATGCACTTAAACGTGAAAGCTATACTATAACTATACTAAATTAATTTTTTCTAAAATCTATGGAGATGTTAACATGAAAAATTAAACATTGTTTCCAGTATTATTATACCATTATCATAATTATTGCATTCTATGATAACCCCTTACAGCTCATATTGGATGAAAAATTCTTAAAAAACAAATTTTTTTCTCATTTTCTTCGTGCAGAAGTTAAAGGGTTAAGCTAAGACCTGCAACATACCAGGATGCTTTGGGGGTGGGGGTGGGGGGTGGGGCGTGGGGGGGCAAGTTAAACTTTTCAATCATAATTAAATTAATTCAAAAATATACAAGATGCATCATATGAACTGAGTCCATCACTGACTTTCTTTTGTGAACTAGCTTTGTGAGTTGCTTGTTTTACCCGGGGGTTCAAGTGAGAGGCTGAACTCACCGTGGTGGTTTTGACTCGGCCTCCGGGCTGCGTACAAGTCCATCCAGATTTATTGACTAACAGGTCACAGCCTTCATCCTCCAAACACGGAACCATCTCACACCACTGCTTTTTTCGAACAATGCCAGCTGCGGAGGAAACAGAGTGAGGACAGTTAGAGAGGAGAAAGAAAACGGGGAAAAAAAGAAAGAGAAGTGTCGAGAGAGAAGCCAACAAAAAATTGGGTCAGATAAAAACAATCAAAGGGTTTTGTTATCTGCACATTTTAGCAGGGAGAAACATCTGGAAACGTGAGCACATAAGCTTCTACCGCCAGGGGAAAACAAAAGTCACTCTGTAAAATGTATTTGAGCAATCTGGGACAATCGATATATCCTAACCACTTCGTCAAAACAACATTCTTTTTTTGTGTGAGTAGTTTATCTCTTCCTCCCCCGCTATCTTGACATTCTATACTCCAGTTACAACAGTTTGAGTTTCTACATTCCCCGAAGAGCCTCAGGCTTCAGCCTATTACACACACTTTCATTATAGGCTGAGACATAATGACAACACAGACAAATACCCTGACAGCTAAAACGCGTTTTTGTTGGATCAAACTCAAGTGACGTTGAAGCAACGTTGTTGCATTTTTTAGCTTCACTAATTATTTATCTTTGGTTTTGTTTTTTTGGATATACGTAACTAAATATTAAGATTCGACTCAAGTGCAAATAAATCAGAAGATACAGGAGCCAAAGTGTTCAAATGCAAACAAAGTAAAAATAAAGACGGGTTTTGTGTGTTTTTCGATGCAAATGTGTGTGTGTGTGTGTGTGTGTGTGTGTGTGTGTGTGTGTGTGTGTGTGTGTGTATATATATATATATATATATATATATATATATATATATATATATATATAATAGAAATGTTTTACTCTGGAGACAAGTTTGTGTCCAAAATGTGAGATAAAAAGTTTTAGTATCATTGCACCAAGTTTTTGTTCTCACTGCCAGCCGCTGTTGTTGATATCTGGAGACTGCCAGGCATTTGTGCACAGAGCTTTTATTCTGCAGATCATCGTCTTACTGCAGGCAGAGTGCATGAAGTGAAAATCCTGACATTTTGTATGAAGGCATTAGATTTGGATTCATGTCTGCCACATCATTGCCACACAAAATGAATCCAAGCGTGTTAATGGTACAATGCTTTCAAGCAATTATTTGGAGTATTACTGAATACCCTTTATTTTGTACACTTGTTCATATTCTTGTAAACACTTTTACATAAAACGCTAATCACAACTAAGTGTGTTTAGGCATCTAGACCTGGAGAAAACAGCATACTGGATATCAGACTGAGTATTTGGGTAACTCTGAACTTGGCATGGTAGTTGGCTGTTGGGTTGGTCTGAGTATTTCAGAAACTGCTGGTCTCCTGGGATTTTCACCTACAACTATCTTTATTGAGTGTAGTCTGAAAATAAGAGAAACGTACAGGGAGTGAAATGTCTTGTTAATGTTAGAGGTCAGTGGAGAATGGCCAGGGTTTGAGAGGAAAATGCTAAATGGCCTGTATTTGTATAACGCCTATAGCGAATTCTACAACCTCCCAAGGCACTGCACAACACAGTCATTCACCCTTTCACACGCACACATGCACACACTAGTGGTGATGACCTGCAATGCAGCCACAGCTGCCCTGGGGTGCATTGACAGAAGCAAGACTGCTGATCACTTGCGCCACTAGTCCCTCCAACCACCATCTTCAGGTAAGGCAGGTTAAAGCCTATTTTATACTTCTCCGGACGGACGCAACGCCGCTATCCGTTATTTCGAGGGCTCACCAGCAGTGAATTACAGGCTACGAGAGCAAAAATCATCAATAATCAGAAACCTTACACAGTAAGTTTAGATGGCTGAGAACACCAAATATGAAAAGAATCTTCAAACAAGTTGGGGGACATTAAAGGCTCCCCCAAGGAGATTTCATTGTAAACAAACATTATCATTTTGTTCTGCAAAAGCTCAACAGGGTTCATGGAAATTAGAGCTGCAGGGCACAAAACCATTAGAAGAGGAAGCAAATTCAAGGGTCATTATGTCCCGTATGTGGCATAATGAGGTGCTTTTGTTTGAGCGATAATAAGAAACATCCTCTAAATATATTTGATCACAGAACAAAAACTTGTGCTGTGTTAAGGTGTTCAAAAGTCAGTGGTACAAGAAGACAAACGTGTTAAATGATGCAGGGGGCCATAACTGATACAGGAAAGGATGATACACACATTTCCATTCATATTAGTCTGTGCACATTATACTCTTCTGGTTCTCTTATACAACCTGAGAGAATTGTGTTCATTTCAAATCAATAAATTTGCTCTAAGGGCACCTTCAGCTGCAGTCATAACCTTACATACAAATCATTGGCAACCATGAAACTCAGAGTTATTATCAGTTCACAATAAACAATATGTGTACAGCAATCAACCTGTAAAATGTGCATCCCCGTGTTGCTCGGATAAGACCTCTAACGTGAGCCTGGAGAGCTTTAAATCTGACACCATAGCAAAGCATTTTTATTGGTTGGTGGCTTTTGCTGACATGATACTTACAGTTGATGGTAACAATACATAATACAGCCCGGTACTTAGAGGGCTACCTATCATGGAAGTACAGGGACAAGTACAGTAAAAGGTACATACAGAAGTATGTAAAGGGACCAAGCAGTATTATAGAGTGACTTGTTACTCGGGATTAATAACATTACTACAGTACAAAATATTCTAAAACCCTTTAGAAACCCCAAAATGTATGGCTTCTATGGGCTTATTTAGACAAATTAGTTTAGTGCCACTTGTCACCACCAGCATGTCAAAATGATCTTAACCAGTCAACCGATTGGTAGGGCTTGTATTTTATGGAAGCATGTGCTGAAAAAACCCCCAAACAACTAAATATTCAAAGACCAGAGTTTCACTGCTGCCGCAAACCTGACTTAAATACATGAGTGATTAACAAGCTTCTGCAGCACTTGATGTCATCCTGAGGAGGTGATGCAAATATGTGAATCAGGTGTGCTGAAGCAGAGGCCGGGAAAACATGCCGGACAGGAGGTGGTGCTGATGACCAGGGTTGAGAAACCCCGCTCTCGATGGTGCCTTCTGGATTTTTGCTGTAAGTCAGGGGCGGGCAATCCTGGTCCTCGAGGGCCACTATCCCACATGTTTTACCGTTTTCAATGTTTCAACACGCCTGATTTCAATCAGCAGGCAGCTGGCTTCTGCAGCTTGATGAGCTGCTGAAGTGGAAGTCCTAATGTTGACACAAAGACATTTGTTATGGACAACTGAATTAGAAACCAACTTTGATAAGCATCCCCATTTTTTATGTTTCTCAAATATAGATCTACTATGTAAAATGTGCTCTATCTAATCTCTGGCCTGAAATAATGGTAGTTAGTAACTTCACAAACATTTCATGAGTAAATGCAGTTTTATAAAAATCAATTCACACTATTAAAGGGACTTTACGGAGTTTTGAATTTTTATGCTCGCGATTGCCCCCTCAGGCCAAAAGCGTAACGGCAGCTTCAATAGTAGGCTCGTGCACGAGGCGTGCATGCTGTATGTGCACACTCCTTAACGAAAATAACAGCTAAGACAGTCCCTTGTGTGTGTGTGTGTGTGTGTGTGTGTGTGTGTGTGTGTGTGTGTGTGTGTGTTGCCCGGAGGACAGGAGAATGTGCAGCTAATTAATTAAATAATTTGGTTCTGTACCTTTCTCTTCAGCACAGCCGACAAAGGTTTATGATGGGTCAGACCTCCTGCATGCTCAGATCATTCCCTTCCCTTGCTTGAAAAATTGTTCCAAAATGAAAGTTGAACCCACATCTTTTTTATCTGTGAATTCAATGCCGTTCGGCGAGTCTCAAATAAAGATTTGGGCATCTTACTGTAAAAAAATATATCATTAATGTAAAAAAGAAACTTTAAAACAACTATGTTCACATCCAGTATCGAATCTTCAGCACGAAAGCCAGACGTCTTACAGCTGAAACAATGTTCAAAGAACGGTTTGGAGGGCTATGCCTAAGCGTGAACGTGCATGAAGCAGCCTGCTCGACCCGAGCATCTCTCTTTTTCTGTGATTTTACAGAAAAACAGGCAATCACAGTAAAAATACCAGGGCTCATTCTACAGGACCAGGGCATTGCAGGAGAATGTATGAAGAAGACATTTATTATTTCTATACATGTTTTGGCTGTCAAACTTCCATAATGCCCCTTTAAGAGCTGATAGTATATGTTATAATTTACACATTTCAGAGATGATAACAACTTACTTCCTGCTGTTTTTAAGTCTGCCGGTAATGTTCATATTTTTTTACAATGGTACATGGGACATTAGGTTATCCCATTATTCTACGCAGATGATGGAATCACAATCAAGAGGAAGGAGTGGTGCTCTGACACCGAATCCCAACCATCCACTCCAACTCAACAGCAATCAAGAAGGCCATCCAGTTTGCTGTGATCATATTCACTGTCTCAATTTGCATGCCTCATCCCCCACTCATCGCATTTCCAGTCCAAACTATTTCCAACAACCTTTCATTTCTCTTTTAAATGCCCCATTTAATCTTCAGAAGTTTGTATTATACGTTGTTGTTTGTATTGACTTCATTTTTAAAGTATAATTTGTGTGTTATGTAAAGTAAGCCATTCTCAAAGGCAAATTTTTCATTTTATGTAAATCTGCAAAGAGGTGAGTGCAGTGTAGGGCGGAAGATGTAAAGCAGGCCTGTGTAAATGGAAAAGGGAAGCAAGAGTGCACAAGAGAAAATTAGAGAACATATTGAAAGCATACTGACTAAAGGTGAAAGGGAAAAAAAGTCAGACGTAATAATCCAAGGTCTGGAAGGGTTTTCTGCCTTCTTTTCCCCCTTCTTGTGCTTATTTAATCTGTTACTGTGAATTCCTATTATGAAAGCTGTCAGCAAGGTCACTTATTCATTTTGCTCCTGGATTGCCATCCAGTGGGGTGACCCTCAGCTGATGAAGATGTATAGCAGCGCCTGGTAAACATCAGTAATGAAGGAATGAGTGCTGCATGTGCATGTGCCATTGTCTGCATATATGTTACAAATG